CTTAAAATTTAATTTTCATTTTCATAATTATGTTTATTAATCTAATAATTTAAAATAATATTGCATTATAATCAAATATAAAAATACTAAAAATTTATACTTATTTTTAAAATAAATAAATGTTTTATCATATTAATTTATAATATATATATATATATATATAATAAAATAATATTAATTTTATTTTAAAAATAATTATTTTATAAAATACATCTACTCATAAATTTAAGAATTAGTTTTGACATAAACCTTTAAGACATGAATTAAATAATCAATCTAAATATCTAAATAATCAATCCAAATTTTATCTATTTAATTTAGGTTAATTTTTTTCTCCTAACTTAATTTTTTTAATATTTTTATTTTGATACTTTTAGATAAATTTTTTTATTAAAATAAAATTAATTAATATTAAATAATTAACTTTAAATTAAGAATTATATATATTATTTTTATAATATTTTACTTATGTAATTATTATATAAATTAAATATAGAAAAATTTAACTTAATAATAAAACTAAAGTGTCTATTTTTTTTTAATATAGTTATAAAATATATATATATATATATTTACAATTTTATTGATAAGTTTTAATTTATAATAATAATGGTTGAATATAGAAGAAATAGATAGTTTGTGATTAATCTCCCTTATGTATAAATCACACATAGGGTAGTCTATTTATAGTAGAGAGATACAACTAAAAGAGTAACTGAAAGTAACAGAATAAACAAAAGATATTGTTTGATATTGTGGTTAACAATATCAAATAATATCTAAATAATATCTAACCCTCCCCCTCAAGCTGGAGCATACAAATCATATATGTCAAGCTTGTTACAAATATAATTAATTCTAGGACCCCGTAAAGATTTAGTAAAAATATATGTTAACTGATCACTTGAGTTAACAAACTCAGTCTTGATGTCTCCAGACATAATCTTTTCTCGAATTAAATGACAGTCATTCTCAATGTGTTTGGTCCTCTCATGAAAGACAGGATTATAACTAATATGAAGAGCAACTTGATTGTCACACACAAGTAACATTTGAGTGACATCTCCAAATTGTAACTCTCTAAGCAATTGCTTGAGCCAAACAAGTTCACAAACAGTTAAGGTCATAGCTCTATATTCTGCTTCTACACTAGATCTTGCCACAACACTTTGTTTCTTACTTTTCCATGAGACCAAGTTACCACCAATGGAGACACAATATCCAGATGTAGATCTTCTATCTGAAGGAGATCCTGCCCAATCAGCATCTGAGTAGCAAACAACTCTTGTATGGTTATTAGAATCATATAACAATCATTTTCTAGGAGATCCTTTAATATACTTTAAGATACGAATGACTGCATTCCAATGATCTTCACATGGGGAATTAAGAAATTGGCTTACCACATTGACTGCAAAGGAAATGTCAGGACGAGTAACTGTAAGAATTCAATTTTTCAACCAATCTTCTATACTGCTCAGGATTAGGTATAAGTTCCCCCTGATTTGGTAGAAGTTTAGTATTGGGATCCATGGGCGTATCAACAGACTTTGAATTCATCAACCCAGTTTCCTCCAAAATATCCATGGCATACTTCCTCTGAGATATAACAATACCATCATTGGACTGTGTCACCTCAATACCCAAGAAATATCTAAGTTTGCCAAGATCTTTGGTCTAAAAATGGTGACAGAGATGTTGTTTCAACTGAAAGATGTCATGGTTGTCACTACCTGTAAGAACAATGTCATCAACATATACTATCAAGTAAACACATCGAGCACTTGAGTGTTGATAAAAGACAGAGTGATCTGCTTCACACCGAGTCATACCAAATTGTTGAACAACCTTGCTAAACTTTCAAAACCAGGCCCTAGGAGACTGTTTTAGGCCATATAGGGATTTGCGAAGACGACATACCATCCTAGAAGACTCTCCCTGAGCAACAAACCCAGGAGGTTGCTCCATATAGATTTCTTCTTGCAAATCACCATTGAGGAAATCATTTTTAACATCTAGTTGATAAAGAGGCCATTGTTGAAGAGCGGCCATGGCGATAAATAAATGAACAGAAGTCATCTTTGTCACAGGGGAAAAGGTATCTCCATAATTTAACCCAAAAATTTGAGTATAACCTTTGGCCACAAGACGAGCTTTGAGGCGATCAATAGTACCATCAGGTCCAACTTTGATAGAAAACACCCACTTGTAACCAACAACAGATTTCCCAGACGGTAACGAGACCAATTCCCAAGTTCCACTATTATGAAGAGCACTTAGTTCATCTAACATGGTCTGACACCAACCAGGATGGGCTAAAGCTTCACGGACAGTTTTTGGAATGGTCACAGAAGAAAGAGAGGAAAGACATGTATAAAAAGATAATGACAGTTGATGATAACTCAAACCAATATAATGGGGAGAGGGATTACGTGTAGAACGGATACCTTTTCGGAGGGCAATGGGAAGGTCAGACTCAAGTGTCACATCCGGAGGAGACAGAGTAGTTGACACTTGAGTAGAGTCACATGGTGGTGGTTGTGATTGGTTTTGGCAACTATAAACCTGAAGAGGCAGTGAAGAAGAAGCTGCCTGTGGAGTAGAAACTAATGGTGAAGAAGACACAGTTAGATGGTCACAAACAACAGGAACATTAAATGTACTAGGAGTGTTGACAAGATTGGATGGAGACAGAGGTGAAGATTGACTTTTAAAATAAAAAGAGAACTCATTAAAGGTGACATCTGCAGACACAAAATAATGTTTAAGAGAAGGTGAAAAACATTTGTATCCTTTTTGTGATCTTGTAAACCCTAAGAAAACACATTTATGTGATCTAGGAGAAAGCTTGTCAAGACCAGAACTGAAATTATGAACAAAACATGTAGATCCGAAAACTTTTAGAGGTAAGGGATGAAGTGGTTCATGAGGGAATAAAATGGAATGAGGTATTTTATTATCTAAAATCGAAGATGGCATGCGATTAACAAGATAACATGCAGTAAGAAGAGCATCACCCAAAAAATGCTGAGGAACCTCTCCATGAATTAAAAGAGTGCGAGTTGTTTCAATAAGATGTCTATTTTTACGTTCAGCTACACCATTTTATTGAGGTGTATAAGCACAAGAAGTTTGATGCAAAATACCATGAGAAGCCATGAATTGTTTAAAAGAATGAGAAAAATATTCATGACCATTATCACTGCACAAAACTCTAATAGAAACACCGAACTGAGTTTGAATTTCATTGAAAAAAGTTTGAAAGATATGAAATAATTCAGAATGATTTTTCATCAAAAATAACCAAATGCATCTGGAATAATCATCAATGAAAATAACAAAGTATTGAAAACCTAAAGTAGACTTAACGCGGCTAGGTCCTCAAATGTCGGAGTGAACCACGACAAAAGGGGATCTAGCCGCGTTAAGTCTACTTTAGGTTTTCAATACTTTGTTACTTTCATTGATGATTATTCCAGATGCACTTAATTATTTTTTATATTGTTTAGATATTATTTGATATTGTTAAGATATTGTTAGATATTGTTAACCACAATATCAAACAATATCTTCTGTTTATTTTGTTACTTTCAGTTACTCTTTTAGTTGTATCTCTCTACTATAAATAGACTACCCTATGTGTGATTTATACACAAGGGAGATTAATCCCAAACTCTATTTCTTCTATATTCAACATGGTATCAGAGGCAAAATCTAACATCTTTCCGGTTATTGTCATGGGCAAAAAGTTGCCCTTTAGTTGGGTCAAAAGTACCATTTGTCTGGTCCGACATGCTTCGTTAGAGGGGCGTGTTAAAAGTCTCACATCGCCTACCTCATGTCATTTTATATAATTTAAATACATGTTAGGTTACTCTACATATCGCTAATTGGCTTTATGTTGGAACCTTAACAATAATAAATCTTAATTAGTTTAATGTTATTTTTAAATGTTAAATTTTTTTATATGTAAGTTATTTAATATTATTATTACTAATTTACAAATTTGTTACTAATAAAAAAATATTTTACAATTTAATTAATTATAATATTAATGTTAACATTAAATATTTTTTTAATTTTTTAAAGTTGTAGCTATCAATAATAAAATACTTCTATTTTAATGAATATTTTGGAAATGGTTTAGATGGAAAATCTTTAGGGAATTAAGTTTATTTAGAAAAATAAAGTTATTAATGAATTGTGTTACGCAACGTAATCTATGCAGTGCTGGAAAACACCTATTTACTTATCCGATAAGGTAAGCGTAACCTGACAAACAAGTCCAGAACACTAATAAGAAAACCTTCTACTCAGACGAACAGTTCCCACAGACACCCACAACTCATTCAAGTTTGAAAGTGAACCCACCTTCAACACAATTATCAACCTCAACTACTGCATGTACACTTTACTTAATGTTTATGCTTTGATTTCATGCTCTCCATATGCATACATATTTTTCAGTATTCACTTTAACTTTTCATTTTTAGTTTTTTTTTTTTTTCCTTCAAAGTTTGGTATGATGCCACCCTTTTGTTTTTGTGTCGTTGCTGTTGCATAGGACCTTTCATCAAACGCTCTTCAACTTTCCGTGAGTTTGAAGGATCCCAAAATTATTTTTTAATTAAATTATTGTTGGGTGTGGAATTAACATATTTAAAAAATAAATTTTTAATTTACCGTTTGGTGGGAAATTTCTTACTCCCGGATCTTCTTTCTTCTATAAAGTGTTGGCTGATCATAGAGCGTTTGGATCAGATCTGTGATTTGGGGTTTTTGATTTGTCTATATTTTTTTGCTAAGTTTACAATCAGGTTTATTGTTAGCTGTCTCACTCTCTTTCTCTTCTGCATTTTGAAGTGTCCGTTGTTACTAATTACTAGATTTGGTTTTGTAAAACTTTGCAGCTTACCATTATTGTGTGTAGAGGACTCAGTGTGAAATTTTTACCGTTTGGAAATTATTTCAGGATTTGAGTTCCAGAGGGTTTTTTGACAATGGCCACGAATTCTTCTAATGGAGCACCAAAGCAGCCTCCCATGCCATCTCCCTTGCGTTTTTCCAAGTTCTTTCAGGTGAACTCTCCCGTAGAATTCGCGTGTATCTGTCATTCTATTTCTGATTGGATCATGTTATGCGTATTTCTTGTCATTTCACTTTTGTTACAAGTTGCTCTCTATTGATAATGCCATTTGATCATCACATGTTAAACTATTAAACCGGGTTATATGCAGATGAGTGACTTACCTGTGCTCGTCAGATTCCCCTTTTTGCTTTTATGAATGAATCTTTATTCATGGTGGTTTTGATTAATATCGTCAATTGTGGTTTAGAATCAAGGAACATAAAATGGTTATAGTTTTTTAGCTGGCTGAAATTTTATTTTTAGTAATTCCATAAATTTAATGTCTTGTGGGAACATGATTACCTAAATTTAGATCTCTCTAAATGTAAACTTGTGGGCTGGTTAGATCTTGTAGCTGTTGGCATTTTAGTTTTAAAAATGCTTACTCCTGTCTAAATATATGTTATGATTGCATTCTTGTGTTTCTCAACTCCTGTTGCCAGTTAGTCAAATTAAATTAATTTGCATTTTGCACTTGTACATTACACTTTATACATTCAATTGTACAACGTAGTTCAGGTCATGTGGGATATGTTCCTAAAACATCATATTACATCTCATTATCTAGAGAACGCTGATAACCTGAACAATGCTCTTGCAAGGATCTCTTCTTTTACTCATTTTCCCATTCCTTATGTGAACTCTTGGTTTTACAATATTACTTTTATCTCTGACAACAGTCCAATATGAGAATTCTGGTTACTGGAGGAGCTGGTTTTATTGGCTCTCACCTAGTTGACAAATTGATGGAAAATGAAAAGAATGAGGTTAGGATGGTTGATATGTTTCTGTTCACATTTTTGAAGTTCGTTAGTTATATATAGAGTGCGAATTAACTTTGGAACAAGATTTGACAATATGTTTGTCTAATCAGGTTATTGTTGCTGACAACTTCTTCACTGGATCCAAAGACAACCTTAAAAGATGGATTGGTCATCCAAGATTCGAGTTAATTCGCCATGGTATAGTTTTATTATTTTCATCATCGTAATCATCCACTATCTGACTTTCCTTTTGTAATGTCTGTGTGGCCTCTTAATTTTAGTCATCTAGATTGTGAATTATCTTCAAGACTGTGATGGATCATGCAACAGAACGTTCTTGGTTTAGTTAAGATATTAAATTAATAGATATACAAATTTTTTAAGTAATACACCAAATCAGTTCCTAAAATGATAAGCATTAGTCAGTTAATCCTTGATATTGTGAAAGAAGTTTAATCCCCAAGTTTCACAATTGTCAATCTATTTAGTCTCTAAAATTGGCATTATCAGTCAGTTTGGTTCCTAACATAAAAGAATCAACGATTTAGTACTTGTCAGTCGATTCAGTCCTTGTACGGGACCAAATTAACTAATGATGCACAACAAAGTCAGGGACTAAGTTGACTGGAGTTGTTAAATTTGAGATCAAATTGACAGATTCTTAACATTTGGGACTACAATGACTAATACTTGCTAATTTTGAAGACCAAAATTTATTTTCATTATTTAGGAAATAAAATGACTTTTGTTTGTAATTTTAAGGATTATTTTGATGGTTTATTCTCAAATTTTCTAAATCAGACACCAATATAGATTGTAGAGCAGTCAGTTGCATTTGATGTTCAATACAACATGAATTATGATGCCATTATGTGCAGAGTTTCTTCTCTGTTTCTTGAGCAACCAGCTGTGTGTCATGTTCAATACAACATGAATGATGTTATCATGTGCAGAGTTTCTTCTCTGATTTGAGATGGGTTTTTATTTAATTAGAAGTATATACTTTTCTTTTCCCTGAACAGATGTCACAGAGCAATTGTTGATTGAGGTTGATCAAATCTATCATCTTGCATGTCCTGCTTCTCCAATTTTCTACAAATACAATCCTGTAAAGGTGGGTCCTTAGAATCTGCTTTTGTATTTCTGTTATTTACCATGGTCCTGTCAGTTGCCTACCCGTGTTATTGCTTGCATAGAAGTAGTTTGAAGTCCTCCCAATGCAACCCTGGTTCTATTGCAGGGTTAACATAAGATTTACTTATATATTGTTATAATGTTTCCAATTGTTAGTATGCTTATGAGTTCCTACTCTGTTTATGACCTACGCATTTGTTGACTCCTCACTTCTAGTGGATCTTGAGAAATTATCTAACAGTTGCAGTAAAACTTTACAGACAATAAAGACAAATGTGATTGGAACACTGAACATGCTTGGGCTTGCTAAGCGTGTGGGAGCAAGGTTATCCCTTTTCCTAAAAAATAAAGTTGATAAGCTAAATCTATACCAGTTGTTGATTTTAGCAAGTTGTAATCTTTATTGACAGGATTTTGCTTACATCTACTTCAGAAGTATATGGAGACCCTCTTGTGCATCCCCAACCAGAAAGCTATTGGGGCAATGTTAACCCTATTGGTACATACACATCTAATGCTCAATCCATATTTGTTGTGTCAATGGTAACATATTGGGGCCAATACTGATTTAGCTGAGCTCATCATAATGTATACCTCATGTTTAGTTTTCACACTTCAAAGTGGTTTTTGAACATGCATTTGTTATGAATATGGTTGGAAAGCTGCAAGTATACGATCTGTTTGAATTATATTTTGATAAGATCTGTGTTGTTGATATATTTCAAACCTGCAGGTGCTTGGAATGTTCTTTGACTTTTATATATGCCACATTCGTTCTTCTATCATGACCCAGTAAAATTTGATTAGGGGGTTGGTTAAGAAACATTTTTCCCTAATTGTTGGCCTCATGATGTGTGATGCTCCTCAATTACTTGTTTAGTATATTGTAGTAGTTTAAAATGTGTTATGCTGAAACTTGTGAGGATATAACCTAAGCATAAAAATATGTGTGCACAGGAGTTCGGAGTTGTTATGATGAGGGCAAGCGTGTTGCAGAAACTTTGATGTTTGATTATCATAGGCAGCATGGACTAGGTAATTCTATATCTATTTTCATTTTCTTTTTCTCCTTTGTAACACCTTCTCATGAGGGAACTGAAGAATATGTGCACTGCCGATAAATATTAACTTAGTGTGTTGTTCACTTTCATATTTTTTCCAGAAATACGCATTGCAAGAATCTTTAACACGTATGGACCACGCATGAATATTGATGATGGGCGTGTGGTCAGCAACTTCATTGCTCAAGCAATTCGGTAAATCCTTTAACTTTATAATGTTACAGGCAAGATATTATGCTGATAAAGTGATTTTATGACTATATATATATATATATATATATATATATATATATATATATATATCAACTCTGAAAAACATTGGTGCTCTTTTGTAAGCAAGTATAACTATTTATTTTTATTACACACTACTAAAAATTCAAGCTTTATAACTGTTTGAATTATGTTCCGAGCCTGCTCTTTATTTGTTGCTTCTCATGTACCTTTTTGTGTTATAGTGGTGAACCCTTAACTGTCCAAGTTCCAGGAACTCAAACTCGCAGTTTCTGCTATGTCTCTGACATGGTATATATGATACACGTTTCTCATTTATACATTATGATCTTGATTCAAGTACTATGTCTGATTGACTATGATTATACATTTCAAATCTATTAGGTTGATGGACTTATACGTCTAATGGAAGGGGAAAACACTGGTCCAATCAACATTGGGAACCCAGGTTGTATTACAACTGAGTCATTGAGCTCCAATTTTTCTGCAAAATACTAATGTTTTGATACTTTATTCTTCCAGGCGAATTTACAATGACTGAACTAGCCGAGAATGTGAAAGAGGTTAGTTGTAACTTGCAAACCATTTGAATTCTTGGAGAATCCCACATTCCTCTTATCTGTCAGTCTCATATCATCATATTTATTTTAAACAAATGATTTTAACCAAGGAACTCTTTGATAGCGAATTATGAACATCTTTTCATGAAAGGGATAATGTATATGCTTTAAATATGCAATTAACAACGTAAAGTGGGAAAAAAAACATGTTGTGACCCTGTGGATTAAAAATGGAATTTTGGTGAAAAACTTGAAAGTTAGCTAATGCTTTATGTATGTATGGTTTTGCAGCTTATTAATCCAGCAGTGGAGATAAAGATGGTTGAGAACACTCCTGATGATCCTCGTCAGAGAAAACCAGACATAACAAAGGCAAAGGAATTGCTGGGATGGGAACCAAAGGTCAAGTTGCGTGATGGCCTTCCTCTTATGGAAGAGGATTTCCGTCAGAGGCTTGGGGTTCCCAAGAAAAACTAAGCTTGTTTTTCTCCTTCACTTCATATCATAATGAATATTTGATCGTATCTGGGACATTCTTTTAGTCTTAAAATATTTTATACTGGAACATATGGTGAGAGGGAAGATTAGAACTTGCAGCAGGGAAAGCCAACTTGAACTTGCTTTTCAATGATTGCTTCTCCACCCAACTTCTCTTGGAAATGCTATTGTTTAGTTGATTTTTTATTTTTAATTCAAAAGTAGCTCTTAAGTTCTCTTTCAACTTTCTTTATCCATTGTATGCCAGTATAGGGGTGTCTTAATGTGTTTTTTGTACCAAAATACAAATTCAGATTGTTGTTGGGGGGTTGAGCTTTGGATTTGAGGAGGTTTATGTCCTTTGGAAATAAACTTATGGTCTTATGAATGTCAAACAGGTACTATTCAATTGTGTTTCTTGTGAACATCATTTTTGTCTTTCTTATCTTACATAGCTATAAATCAAATTAAATATATTTTATTTTTAGACAAATTGGAATTTCGAAGAAATTGATAGTCATTTTTATAACATATTTTATAGTTTAGATTTTTTTTTCTTTAATAATATTGTACCGATATATCCAAAATTTTAATTTACATATAAGCGGGCAATATTTTCTTTCTAACAATGATACCAAATCATTTTCTTCTTAATCAAACAATTATTAATTAAAAATTTATTTTAAAATTATTTAATGATAAGGATAAACTTGGAATGTAGTAAAATTGTTTTAAAGTTTTAACAAAATTAATTGAATTAATTTTTTTAGTTAGTATGATTATGTTGAAACTTTTATATTAAAGAAAAATATACATTATAAGATGAATATATCAACTATTCTAAAATTAGAATAAATACAAGAAGGTTACTGGTGCTTTATTAAAACATTTGATTTTGGAGGTTTAGAAAGCACTCCTTTAAATTAGATGTTCCAATTTTATTTATCTATATCTGCAATGAGGGAATTCCTGTTTTTTTAATAACCCTTTTTTTAATAAAGAATGTATTTTATATTTTGGTAAAATTATTTTTGAAGTAATTACATTTTAAATAACGGATTCAGAATTACTTTAATTTAGATAATGAAATATAATCATTTTATATTATATATATATATATATATATATACATATATTTATAAATAAGTTTAAATGTATTTTTAGTATAAAGTTATCCAATTTTGATTTTGGTCCTCATAATTTTTTATATAAAATTTGAAATATTTATTTTTAGCTCATATAAAATATGTGAATTTTAGTTTTAGTCTAAAATATTTTTCTTACTTTCATCTTCCAAAATTTCAAATTACTATTGTTAATTTTTAATATTATTTTTATTACAGAAGAATAATATATATTTCATAGATCTTGATAAGAATATTAATACGCTTCACATATTATTATATATTATTTTAAATATTATTTTTTCAACTCAATTAAGTAGTGTTATGTAATATTAAGAATTAAAAATTAGGAGTGCTTATATCATTGTCTAATTTGATGATGCAATTTGACTTAATCTATTGAGTTTAGTTTTTTATATAATTGGATTAAACGCAATCTCCTATGAATTGAATGATGAGTTCTGTATGTTCAACCTAACTTATCACCACATCAAAATTATTAAATAACATTAATATTATTATTAATAATAACATAGTTATTATATAATTTATTTAAGTATTATATTATATAATTTTAAATATTATTAAATTATTCAAATAATAAAAAATGTAGTTTATTTTCTCTTAAATCTTAAAAAATATATTTTAAAATTAAAAAATTCAATAAAAAATATTTTTTAAAATATATGATCCAATTAACTAAACTTAATAAAAATTAATTAGGTTGAATCGGATTAAAAAAACAAAGGTTGTTTCATCCAACGTCTCCGTTACATATGTAAAATGTTAAAAGTATCTTGTGGTCTTTTATCTTTAAACCTTTGATGTCAGTTTTCCTATTCCGCATTGCACCTTCGTACCAGCATATATACCTCTGTTTACTGTATCTTCTATATTTCCAATCAAATATCGTTTTCACTTTAAGGTTACAAATTTGTTGGTGATTTTATGCTTTGAATCGAATAGCATGTTGTGTATCAAAACATCTCATGAAAAAATACATTTGATTTGTAATTATGATATTCTGAATCGTTAAATCCTATATATTATTTTTAGAGAACACAGTATGAAAATGAGTTTTAGATTAACTCATTCATCCTTTACTATTCTTTATACATTTTATTTATAGTATAAATGGACATTCACATTTTCTATTTTTTATTATATTTGGATGCAATTTTTTTTTTTTTTTATATTTATTACATTTTTCACAACATAACAAATCATTTGTATTCCTTCTTAGATGACCATTTGTTATACCCGATATTAATAATATGAGAACCACAAATCTAAACTTGAATACTAAATACCTACAATAATAGATACATGACATTTATAAGGTATGATAAAAAATATTAATATATAACTAAATCTTTATCTCATTCAGTGTGAAAACGTTAGTACAATCAACTGAATTATAAAAAATATGTTTCATATCAACATTATTTAAACTCATTAACATGTTAATTTCATCTGCCATATTTTTATAAAAATAATATTCATCCATTACAACTTTATAAATCAGTCAAGTTTTAAAACTATCAGTACAAAGTTCACATAATCCAAATTGTTTTTAGAATGAATATTTTAGAATGTAATTTTTATATTTGGATATAATTTGGGATTGGGTAATCTAAAATACTTTTTCGATTGGGAAATCCGAAATCTATTCTTGGAAGATGTAACTTATAATTGTATTCTAGAATAAGTTATCTAGAATATATTTTTGAATTAATTGTTCTAGAAATCTAAAAATGTATTTTAGAACCGTTAATCCAAAAATATATTATGGGAAGTTTAAGAACAATGCAATATTCACATGAACAAAATAAGGGAATAAGAACAATTTACAAAGTTTACATAGAATTGACCACTTTCTTAATATAATGAAAGCATCAATCAATAATAATAATGAAAAATAAATAAAAAGATAAATTTAGAGTTAAAAAAAAAATAGAAACAAGGAGATTTACATAAGGAAAATAAATGATAAAAGGAGATTTATTTTAAATATGAGATGAAAAAAAAATCATAACAAATATTCAACCAATTTTTTTTATTACATTACACTATGGATTAACCAAACTCACCTAATCGAAGGTTTTGTTTTTTTTTATTGGATTAGAAGATTAATTTAGCCAAATATAATCTTACACAATTCATATATACATCCTTATTAAATCTAGTTATTTTTAATTTTATAAAGACTAAAAATAAATAAATTCTTTTATGATAGCCAAAATAGAAACTCATTTATTTTATAAGGGTTAATATCCTATTTAAGCCTTACTAATATCCTTCAAAGTTAATAATGAAAATTATAAAATTAATGTTTTCTTCACAGGGTATATAAGTAGTTATTTGAAATTCTTTGGTACATAATTTATTAAGAGTTTATATAAATTTTAAAAATCCAAGAAGATATTCTATATATAGATATATGTTAGCTTAGTGTAGTACAACCCTTCATTAATCTCGTTACAATTTGTTAAATCTTTCACTCGATACTGAAAACATACACCAGATGTAGATTCTATGTTGTTAATTGAATGTCTAGCGGGAAAAAAGCACGTTTTGATGCAGTTTTTTAAATTAGTTTAAAATAAATAATTTTTAAAATATTTACGTATTTGAATAAATGGTAGCATAATAAATTATGATTTTAATATGAAAAGCATATCACAACACAATTTATTTATTTAAGAAATGATATTAAAAAATATGATTTTAATATAAAGAAGTCTTATTAAAAATATGAGTTTAACATTAACAAATGTATTTTTTGATATGGTATAATTTTTTTATTTTATTTCTTTACTCTGTTAAAAGAAATGATATTATTTAAAAAGTTAAAAAGAAATAAATACAAATTTTTAATATTAAAATCATATTTTTAATGAGTTTTTTTTAATATTTAAAAAATAAAATAAAGAATAATGTGGTGAAATACCACTCTTTCATATTGAGTATACTTTTTCAATATAATTTACTAAGATGTGTAATTTATCCCATGTATCAATTTCAGCTTAATCTGGTTCCAGAAACAGAAGTCGAAGGGCACGGAGAAAAACAGTAACAAACCAGTTAGATGCTTTTGTCTTTTCTACTCCACGTGAGCCCATGCAACTCTCCTGAGGACACGTGGCGCTCCCAGATTGGTGATGTCGTAGTGCAGCTCCACCATATTCGCACGTCTCACACAAGCTTAAGAACCACCAAATCTTCTCATTCTCCAATTTATCTCAACAAGTGTGTAATGTGTAAGTGTGAGTTTGTGAATCACAATCACAATTATATTTAACAAACTATTCAAAAACATTATGATATAAATAATACTTCATTGCTTTGTTGCATTCATTTGCTTATTCTCTACTCGATATTCATATTCATCCAATTAACAATTTATTCACTCTCCCCTGAACCTTCAATTCCGATCGGATACAAGGTAATTAACTTGTACCTACGGATTTGCTTTTGCTTCCGTAGATGTACGCATTTTCCTTTGCATGTTAGGTTTGGTGTGATTTTGATTCCCTCACCCTTGTCGTTGCCTTGGACCTATCATTTTACGTCCTTCAACATTCCGTGAGTTTTAAGGCTTCCTTTGTTTACATAATCGAATTGAATTTGTGAAAGTTATCATTTTCCTAAGTTTAGCATTTGGGGGAAGAATCTTCTGTAGTTAGATCTATATATAATCTGGTTCATGATCACGGCGTGTTTGGATCAAAAGAGTGGGTAGGGTTTTGTGTTGGGTTGGCCTAATGGCCGTTTAATTTGATGGCATTTTATTTGGTTTTCGAAAATTTTGATAACCCACTACAACTATTCGATCCGTGTTGAGAGAAAAATGTTTGGCCGCTTTTGAATTTGGTGCAGGAGTTAAACTTCAAAGGTTCTTGCAATGGCAGCAGCGAATTCTTCTAATGGAGATTCCGTTAAATCACCGAAGCGACCTCCCCCGCCATCTCCCTTGCGTTTCTCCAAATTCTATCAGGTGTACTCTCGGTTTTCTATTTTACGATTTTCTTGCCACATTGTTCTTATCTGTTTATCTGGATCGTACAATTAAGATATGTTGGCTTGGTAAATTTATTTTGTTTTACAATGGTGTATATTGTTTGCACCATTTGTAAAATGTGATCGAAACAAATATAATGGATGAACTTTATTGTTGAGTTTAAGTTTGTTCTTATGCAATGCAAATCAGTACGTCTAGTATTTATTTAATAGAATGCAGTCACTGTCGCTGAACCTTCAGAAAATCAACCATAAGAGTTTACTCTCCAAAATGGCCACAGCTCAGAGTTATTCTGGGGATGATATACTGACAGTGAAATGGACTTGTTATTTTTTTTTTTTTTTTCATTTATCTATTTTCTTGTATACCTTTGGTTTAGAAGTATATGTATGCTAACGAACATGCATCTTCCAACTGTTGATTGGAAATTGTCGAGTGAGTATAAATAGGGATTTTGTCTGAAAGAATCCTTAGTCTACGTAACATAACTTTTTCTTGATTGGTTGTTTCACCAACATTTTTTTCGTTCTTGACAATAGTCTAACATGAGAATCTTGATCACGGGAGGAGCTGGATTCATTGGTTCTCACCTAGTTGATAGATTGATGGAAAATGAAAAAAATGAGGTTAGATAATTGGTTTATTTTGTTTTCTAATAGCTTTTTTCTTATTCATCTTCAACAATTCTATTATGCTGACATCACTTCTAATCAGGTCATTGTTGCTGATAACTACTTCACTGGATCAAAGGATAACCTTAAAAAATGGATGGGGCATCCAAGATTTGAGCTTATCCGTCATGGTATACGCCACTTTTGTTGACTATTCAACTATCTAACATTAAATTGTTGTGCTTGTGATAGATTGAAAGTTGGGAGTGATTTATATTAGAAGTTAGAAGGCTTCAAAAGATCATTCTGTCAATAAAAACTTAACAGTTGTTACACATCGAAACCAGTATATGCTATTTCAGATTTCAGCTGTTAATTAATCAACTTTAATGTTGATCAGTTCGCTGCATCCTATTCTTAGAATCAACAATGATATCTTTAAATAGTATATTATGTTCAGAATGTCTTACAATCTGTCTGTAAATCGATAATGCTGATGCACATTATCGTTATGGTTCCTCTGTAGATGTCACTGAACCTTTGATTATTGAGGTTGATCAGATCTACCATCTTGCATGCCCTGCATCTCCTGTTTTTTACAAATATAATCCTGTAAAGGTATAGTCATGACTCTTATTTTGTCCGTATTTCATTATCTTTTGCTTGGCATGCTAACATATTTTCTCAACTGCTGATGGTTTTGGTTTTAACATTCATTGCGTAGTCATCGGCCACTTTTTACATGGGATTGTCCAACCCCATTCTGTGGCTTTCTGCAATCTGCAGTATATTTATTCTACTTTTCTCATGTATCTATCTATCATTATTCATTGCTCGAAAGTTCTGTTTTCCTGCTGATCCTTGAGAAACTATCTAATACATTGGGAGATAATAATTTTTGCAGACAATAAAGACAAATGTGATTGGCACACTGAACATGCTTGGGCTTGCAAAGCGAGTTGGAGCAAGGTTTGGAATTAAATAATTTCAGCTTCTACCACCTTTTGAATTTTATTCTCTTTTTTTTGGTAGTCTTAGTACTTATTTTATTATCAGGATTTTACTTACATCAACATCCGAGGTATATGGGGATCCTCTCGAGCATCCCCAAACTGAAACCTATTGGGGAAATGTGAACCCTATCGGTACATGCTTTTATCTCAGTCTCAATCTCTCTATCTTGTGCTTCTTCAATGAAATTATATCTTCTGCTAATGATTGTGGAAGATATCTGCACTCTATAATTAGTTATAGACTAAAGAAGCTAAAAACGTTGAAAATTGAATGTGTGTGAGGTACCTTTCTTTTGTCACATAATCATTCTTTGCGTGACAAATCTTAACTATTGATTTTAGAATGACTAAATAATATATGTTAATAAATAATAAATGAATATAAAAAGTAAAAGAAGATAAAAAGGTGAGATGTCAAAATTATAACTATACAAGAAGGTATATTCAATATTAAATGATCATTAAGTTTGGGGAGTCAAAATCATAAATATATATGTTAGCTACAAAACTTTTGGGGGTCATGTCCCTCCTCAGCTCTCAAGAAGATCCGTCACTGATTCTTTGATGATAGGTTGATATTTTTTAGGCAAAGAAATTCTTTTGATACAATATTTAGGTAGATGTTGTCTAAGCACTGGATTCTCATTGTTAGATATTAAGCTAATGCACCTAGAATAGTAGAAGAAGAGCGTGACTTATTTATTAACATATTAGGGCTTACATAAGCCTTTTACAACGAATTGGAGAAAATTCAGCATCCATGTTTAACAACCCTTACATTGTGGAGGGCTAAGCTCAAATGATTCAACCTACAACTAAGTCCCTATATTCAGGACTTTATTAGTAGTAAAGAATAAACAAAGTTGACTACTAAGAAACTTAAGAACCTTGCAAACTCCTAGTAGTTTCCTCCATTTCACGAATGCACCTAACTTGAGTGGTTTAGTCATTATGCTTGCTACTTGATTAAATTAGCCATAAGGTACTAGCTTCACCTTGCCATCATTGTTGAGGTTACAATGGAACATTATGTCAATATGCTTACTCCATCTACAAAATACAAGATTAGTTGAAAGCTTGATAGTAGAGTTGTTGTCACAAAAGATTGTAACACCTCAGCCTAGAGTTTGAGAAAGCTTGTCAATAATTCTTCTTAACTAAATGCCTTTAGTAGCATAATAAGTTGTTATTATATACTTTGTTGTTGTTGACAATGTAATCAATGACTGCTTCATAGAACTTCAGGCTATAGCTCCACCACTCAAAGAGAATAGATAACCAGACTTACTTTTTCAATCATCCATGTCACCTACATAATCGTTGTGTGTAAGCTAGTAACTCTGCAACTCCTCTTTGTTTATAAAAGAGTCGCGACTCCTCACATATTGCAAAACTCTCTTCACAATTTTCTTATATAGCTTTGTGGGATAAGTCATAGATGTGCTTGATAAACACACTAAGTACATCACATTGGGTCTTATAACTCTTAAATACATCAAGTAGCCAACCATATTGGATTAACTTTTACATCACCACTTTCTTTTGTAGGTCTTGTTCCTTGAGCAATTGGATTGTTCACCATATTACATCTCCCCATACCAAACCTCTCAAGTACATCACTAGCAACTTCCTTTGAGAAATATAAATCCACTCATTTGAAAACCAATTTGACCCTAATCTTCTTCATTCTATGTGAGTGGCCATGTTTGAATTTTTTTTTTTCTCTATTGCATCAATCTCCACCTTCATTACAATCCACCATTTGGAATGCCTCACAACCTCATCAAAATCAACCTAATCTTCACTATCCATAAACACTACCAGCGTTTCTCATTTCATCTATCAGTTTCATAATACCTTCACCATTTACATATTCTCCACTCGACATCCAAATAGATTGCAATTTTGTTTAAATCTTTAGCCACATTAAGCTTTTTCTATTCAACTCAAACTTGTAACTGTAACTAGTTTGTTCTCTTTCTCAACCATCACTTCATCTTCATATTTCGAAACTTGCTCCAGTTTTACACTCTTTTTATCTTCCCAACCTTGTCAGGACTCCTATCCCACTCCCATTTTGCTTCTTCAAAAGTCACATCCCTACTTATTACAATCTATTTTTATGATGGGATTATATATACGCTTGGCCTTTGATTCTTTGCTTACACCAAAGAACAAACTTTTTAATCTTATCATCTAGTTTCATTCGGTTGGCACTCGGGACGTGGATGTGTCCAATGCCAAACAAAACCATTGAAGTGGTCAACTCTTGACTTAATTCTACTCAACTTCTCCTCTTGTATGACTCCTTGAACTTGGACAGTAAGACTTCTATTTAATGTTTCAACCATATTAACTTCTTTTGGCCAAAAATTCTTTGGAATGATTTTATCAGAAAGTATGATTCTCACACTTTGAATTCAAATGTGAGTTGAAATCCCACATTGGGTAGAAATGATAAAGTTGAATAATATATAAGTAAAAAAGACCCACAAATCTATTGCTTTATGATTTTGAGTTAAAGGTGGTGTCATGTTCTCTTATATGATTACCTTGTCTCTCTTGGTTAAACCCAGCAACAATATTAACACCCTTCAAAAAAATCCTAACAGTGGTTTTAGAGCTATTGACTTGTATGGTTAACGACTTAGTTGAGTACAAAGTAAGGGTTACCGCTTGGTAAAACATGTCTTATTAAGATAAATGGAGGAACTACTAATGATTCCCATTAAGATATGTATCCCTAGTAAGGGATATCAGTAAAGTACTTGTGATTAAGAGATGTTTCCGTTTGGGGGGGAGAGTTCAAATTCAAGTGAGTTGAAGTTTCACATTGGATAGAAATGATGAAGTTGAATAACATATAAGTGAGAAAGACCCACAAATCTATTGCTTTAAGGTTTTGGGTTAAAGTTGGTGTCATGTTCTCTTATATAGTTACCTTGTCTCTTTTGGTTAAACCCAATAGTGGAGTTAACCCCCTCAAAAAATCCTAACACTCACCAAGTTCATGATTGTTCTGTTTCAACATTCCATAACCTTGTTTTGTTAGGTTATATACGTTGTAGTGAGCTACCTTTTACACCATTCTTCTTGCAGAATTCTTTAAAATCATCTGAAGTCTCCACCCCAATTAGTTTGTATATAACACACTAGTAAACTAGTTTCATTTTCCACAAGTTTCATGAAACACTTGAAAATTATGAAGGTTTTTTATTTCTATTTTTATTTCATATGGTTGTTGCTCCTACCATCGAGGAACCAATCATCCTCCTACTTTGCATTGTTTCCTTCCACATACACCATGAACAAGGACTCATCTTCATCTAGTTTCGTGTAACGAGTTGCCTTCTCCCATTTAGGACACTCATACTGAAAGTGTCCTAATTAATGGAACTTAAAAGCATTTCATGGTTGCTTTGTTGGAGGATCTACCTTAGCCTTCTCCTCTTGCAGCTCCACTGCCTCTCATTGCCTCATGACCTTGTCCTCTTCCACTTGTTTTCTTCTTGTATACAATCTTCAAAGCCTACTCTCTCCTCCTATTCTTTGTAATAGTTTTTTCACATGAATGAGTAGAGGACTTTGGAGTGCATTAATTGTAAGCTTGTCAGAGTCATTTGCTTCTTTGATAGAATACATACAAAAGTCAAAATTCTCACTCGGAGTTCACATTTTGTTATAAACAATCTTGGATCTAGCATCAATTATATCTTCTCCATAATTTATTCTCAATGATCTTGGCATTTGTCATGTCTTCTCCACCCTTGCAAAATAGTCTTGATTGTCTTTTCCATCTTCATCTCCAATAGCTCAAAGGTTCTTTTGACTCTCTGAAGTTGAGCAAGTTGCACCCTAGCATCCCCTTCACATTTGACCTTCATTGAATCCCATAACTACTTTGAATTACTTTCTGAATGATGGTTATCAAAATAGACTTCTCAATAGCTTGAAAAGATAGTTTTTGGCTTTAAAATCCTTTAGCCTCATCTCATCTAATGTTTTCTTTTGCATTGCTACATGCTTTATACTTCCTCCGGTTCATCATAACCGGATTCTCACTTTATTTGACTTCTTTCGAAGCTAACGAAAATTTGAACACTAAACTAATGCACACAGAGTTGAAGAAAAATAGTATGAGTTATTTATTAACATATGGGGGATTATATAAGCCTTTCACAACGAAGTAGAGAAAATTCAGCATCCATGTTTAATAACCCCTACAACGTGGAGAATTAAGCATAAATGGTTCAAGCTAAAGTCCCTATTTTCAGGACCTTATTAACACTAAATAATAAGCTAAATTGACTAACAAGAAACATTATCCTAATACTCAAATGTCTATAACAGGAGTTCGTAGTTGCTATGATGAGGGAAAGCGTGTGGCTGAGACTTTGATGTTTGACTATCATAGGCAGCATGGAATAGGTAATTAGGTCTTCTCTTCATACTTGCTTCTTGTTCTTTGGAATGTATAGTTGGTAGAAATGTTTTTCTCTGTAATTTAACAGACTTTTTGTATTTGTTTGACGTAGAAATACGTGTTGCAAGAATCTTTAACACTTACGGGCCACGCATGAATATTGATGATGGACGTGTTGTCAGCAACTTCCTTGCTCAAGCACTTCGGTAATTAAAACTTCTTGCATTATCTGTGGTTCATATGGTGTTATTTCTCCATGGGTTGTTTGATCTGTTAATTATAGTTTTGGTTGCCGCATTCAGGTCTTTAATAGAATGTGTGATGCGTGCAATGGGGGACATGCTTTTCACTTGCCTCAATTATTGATTTAATTATTTCAATACCTTGATTTTTAGACTGACTTCTTTTTCTGTCTTTCCGTTTCTAATTTGATGCTTCTCTCACTGTCTTTGTTGTGTTTTAGTGGTGAACCCTTGACGGTCCAATCTCCAGGAACACAAACTCGCAGTTTCTGCTATGTCTCTGATCTGGTATATATCCCCATAACATATATCATTTTCATTGAGTTGCTGTTAGTATTTGGTAAGCTAATGGTTTATTGTGATAGGTCGATGGCCTTATCCGTCTCATGGGAGGATCCGACACCGGACCAATCAACATTGGAAATCCGGGTTAGATTTATATTGCAAGGCCTGTTTTTGAGTATCTTAACTGTTTTCAATTGTGGAAACATCTTTAATTTCTTTTCCCTTAATTATATGCCTAATCCTCATTGCTCTTTTCAGGTGAATTTACAATGCTTGAACTTGCTGAGACAGTGAAGGAGGTTAGTTCAAAGCTTTTATCCTTTTCGATAGTGTTCGCTTCTCAAGTTTGGTTCATGTTTACAATTGGCTAGTATTAAGTTGTGATTTAAAATTTAGTAACCGATCCGGGAGGGAGCCATTTTTATGGAAAAGCGGCATTCACAATACAAGATTAATGCATGGCGTCTATACTAATGGAATTATCTGAAAATAGCTTTTAATTTATGCTGTTGTGGTTGATTTGCAGCTTATTAATCCAGATTTGGAGATAAAGATAGTGGATAACACTCCTGATGATCCGCGACAGAGAAAACCAGACATAACAAAATCAAAGGAATTGCTTCACTGGGAACCAAAGGTTAAGCTGCGAGATGGCCTTACTCTTATGGAAGAGGATTTCCGTTTGAGGCTTGGAGTTGTAAAAAATAATTAACTTATTTTCTTTCCTTTTAAATCAAGTCAGAATAGGTGGGTAATAAGTGGGAGGGATTAGTCATAAGATTTCATATTTTTCCTTTCATAATTATGATAAGTTTCAAAGACCGTACTCTTTTTTTTATTTGACAAAAACACTGCAGCAATCGGGTCTGTGCAAATTTTGCCGGGAGAATTATTACTGAGATTTCTATTGGAAAAAGTCCGTCGCTTTATACTTCTCTTTTCGTACTTAACTATTATTTGTATTCTTGATTTGATATTTAAGCACTCTATCGTACAAAACTATTAGTTTTTTTATTTCTTTTTTGATGGCACTTTCGATTGATTAAAATTTGGTTGTTTCATGGTACTAAGTTCTGACTTATGGTGTCACTTAGTATTCATGTTTTTTATTTTTTTTTATTAGAATTTGGTTGTTTCATGGTACTAAGTTCTGACTTTTGGTGTCACTTAGTATTCATGTTTTTATTTTATTTTTTCAGTCAAAAAAGCTTATTTTGATATTATATTAAACATACTATTTTTAATTTGGTCGGTGATTATTGAAAATTGACCTGCGTTTTTTATTAATGGGGGGACCACAATGAAAAGAGAGTGGGAAGAGACTTATCGCGGGGGTTTGAATTCATACAGGGGATTGGGCATATTATATATATTTCATGAAAAAGATGTAATATTTCAATATTGTAATTTGAAGTTTCATTAATGGATAACGACATGAATATAGGTAAACCCTTTTTAATGAATACCGACACTCATTATGAATTTAAAAGTGAAAAACCTTCTTACAAAAATTTTCTTATTTACAAAAAATAATTAGCTTAGCATTGGTATGGGATGATAATTTTTAATTTTCTCTACATTATAAATTAGAATACATTGTTTAAACTTTTTACTTTTTCTGTTTTAAAGGATTTAAAAAAAAGATTTACAAAATATTTGTTGATTTATTTATATTGACTTGAGTATCGTGTGACACGAAGGTTGATGTACACTCTCGTAAATTTATTCTAAAAATGTAAGAAAGTGAATGATTAAATAATAAATATTCGAATTGTACTTGTTAATTTTTTCATTTATACGAAGGTTCCATTCTACCTCACACAAGTTATTTGATTACAATATCAAATTATTATTATTTAATTATCTTATATTTAATCATATTATCTACAATATTTGGTCACTCTACAAATTCACTCAAATCACTTCAAATTCACTTTTTAAATTTTTGTCTCAATCCGCTAATATAATAAATCTATTTAAATCACCTCAAATTTACACTTTAAATCTCTATCTCAATCCAAATACAAAGCTAATACCATAAATTCATTCAAATTCACTTTCTTTCCATAGTTCAAATAATCTCGTAAATTTATTTAAATTATTTCAAATTTACTCTTTAAATCTATTGCTCAATCCAAACACTGATATCATCAGGTGTGAAATAGTTAGCAATATTACTAATGACTATTTTTTGTGAGAAATAATACATTTAATTGAATCTTTATCTTAATTGTAAATTTTTTTATTCGTAATATTCAAATCTTGAAAACTTGTTTAAAGAATCACGATCAACATGAACATAACAAATTATTTTTATTTTATCTTAATTTATATACTTACTTTTTTTTTAAAATAGACTATCTCTTTTAATTTATATATTTTATCACAAAATAATATATATATATATATATATATATATATATATATATATATATATATCATGAATTATACTTATAATTTATCTATATAATGTAGTCCTTATAAACTTTTATTTAAAAAAAAACAAATAGTATTGCACAACTTAAACTTTCGATATAAATTATAAATTAGTGATTAAAATTTTAAGATTTATTTTCTGTAAAATTAGTAAATTTACATAAAAACAAGAAAAAGGTAAAGTTTCATATGTAGTTAATTTTAATAAACTTCAAATTAATTATTAATATTTTTTTACATTCTCACTTTTTAGATCACCTCACCATGTTAGAGTTAGAGTGTTGACTTTGTTATTTTATCATCAATATCCACCTCCATCTCCATTAGAAAATATGATTCTTTATTTGAATAGAGACTCTTTAATTATATTTGTTTTATCTACTATTTTCGAACACAAAACTTTTATCACTTTTTTATTTATTTAACCATTTACTTGTTAAATTGAAAACTTTACTAAAAAAAGAAAAAGAAAGATACATCTTCGCGAATCGACATGGCTCCATTAGAGCTCTCTCAAGCCAAGCGATTCTCCTGTCTGTGGTATATGGTGATGCGAATGTCCACGAGTTCGTCCCATTCACGATGTCAATGTTGAATTGACAAAACACTACTAAATAACGCATTCAGTTCAGAGTGAGTAAAAACACTAAATTTCCATTCGCGCCACCTCATATTCTTTCATTATCCAAAACACTGCGCCACGCCACCGCATCAATTACATTTTCAAAAATACACGGACACATTGCTAAATTGCTTTCTGCGTGTGACTCTATCTAACGGCCACGCTTTTATCATTTCATTTCACTTTTTTTCAACCTTCATCAACCACCCTTTCCTTCCTTCACCCTGCTTTCCACGTTTCTTGTTTCCGAAAACAAGCACTAAAGAGCTGAGCGAAGCGGTTGCGTTTGTTTGTTCGGTTAATTAACTATCCTAAGCCAAACTCTACAAAACTGCACCAAACGAATCTCTCTATCTCTCTCCGATAGATTCAAATCTTAATATCATTTCTCTTTCGTCGGGAACGTTCTAGAGAAATGGCGAAGCCGCGTTTGAATCGCGATTAGGGTGCTAGGGTTTTGTTCGCTGTCTCCGATCCTGATTTGGATTCCGATCGGAAATGTCCGAACCTAATTCAACGTCCCGAACCTCCGCCTACCTCGACGCGCTCTCTCAGGCGATCCACAAGAAGCTTCAGAAGGTTCGTTTTGTTTCAGTTTCTCTCTCTGTTCTCTGTAGCGAAGTGGAACGAATGAGTAATTGATTATTAGTTTTGTGTGTGTGATGAATGTGGTGCAGGCGCTGGCAAATTCCTCGCAGAGGCGTAATTTGTTGCAGGAGCTGTTTGCGGACATAGCTTTAGAAGTCGATGACCGAGCCAAAGGTATTAAAACATTGCGTTATTTAAATCTGAGAATTTTCATTGAAAGGTTAACTAACATATCTGTGGCTAAGAACGTAGGATTATGATGTCTTGTTATCATAATTAGGTATTCACTTATGTTACCGTGCTCTCTGGTTGCAAGTTAGGCTTGATCACCTGTGATTCGGAATTTTTGGAACACATGAGAATGACACTCACAACTACAATGTTGATATTTTCAATTTAAATAATGTGTTAGGAACTTTTTTTTCCTTCTTAGAAGGGAGAGGACGTATGTATTATCTTTTATTTGTCTAGCAAGAGTTATAGAGTGCATGTTTTCCATTTTTTACAATACAGATGTAATTCTCAACAAGGAAGAAGATGGCATCTCTCCCGCCGAGGATATTAATGATGGTCCTATATGCTTCTACGACGTGCTTGCTGATTATTTTGTGCGAGTTTCTGAGAGCGGAAAACCTATCCTTGACTTGATCGTTCAACTTTGGAGCCAATCGTTTGCTTCACATATCTTTGCCCTCCTGTTTCACAAATGGGTATGTTAGTTTGTGTCTGCATTTATCTTGTTGTGTTCTTGATGACGTTTTGTATTGTAGGATCTCTCATCACTGGTTTTAAATTTTAACAGTCACATTAGTTACTCATTTACTCAAGTAGTTTTCCAAGTTTGGATTCTATTAATAAGGAAAGCACTTGAAGTGCTCAGATATAGTTGTTTCTTTCATAATCACCGTGCCCTTAGTAATTGAATCCTAGTAATTGTACCCTCCGATCTCCAGTGGACCTCGCATCATTCAAGTCTATACTATGGTTGCCTGTCAACTGATGGATATGATCATTTCCTGGAGATCGGTGATAAACATCCCCTCGTAGCCAAGGTCAATACACTTTTGCTCTTACCCTTGAATACTCTGATTAGGTCTACTTAAACCCTAGGCCAGTAATTGCGTTTTGGAATATTTTGGTATTGGCACACACCATGTTTCTATTGTAAATAATTTGCAAAACCAAGATGCACATTGATATGATCCAATAAATCATCAATTTTCAGCATAGGAAAGCAATCCTTTAAGATGATGGAATTGAGAGCCCTAGTATAAATAGACACTAGTTGTCATACTTCTTTTTGACAAGAAGCACAAGGGCCGAAAAAGAGCTTTGGCTTAAGCGGATCAATGGAGAGCATGGTATTGACTTGCTTTTCAAGTTCGGTTTTCTGAAAGTGTGGTGTGGGTAACTTCACGTTAACGAGGTTGGACTTCGGTAGAAGGTGGATGTAATGGGTGGTGTTGTGGTGGGTTCTTGGAAGGAGTGGTATTGGTCAAGGAGGGAGGCAATTTTTGGTGTAGGGTGGGTTTGGGGTTTGTTAGGTTGGGAGGAGGAGGTGGAGGTGGAGGGTTGGATGCAAGCCCTAGTAGAACATTAGCGTGCAACACAATAGGTTGTCCCAACAAAGAAAAATGCCTTGTGAGGGGCGATAGTTCATAGTAAAGGTCCAAGGATTTTAAGCCTTTGGTACCCAAAACAATCTCAAAGCCACCCTTGATAGGAAAGGAATAGAGATTGACTAGAAAAGTGTCTAGCTTGAGGGGGACCTGCATACAAGCTTGGTGATAAGTGAGAGGGAACGAACACCTAGAGACGGGTGGTGTCCACCATTAGAAGGCCTAAGAACTTGGCTACTGGCAATTGAATGAAATTGTGGTTGTTATCGTTATCAACCATGATCCGGATGCTAGATATCACAATATGGTCGAAAATGCAAAATTTCTTTGGCGTAGGTGATTAGAAAGAGCGTTCAAGCTGATTTGAGGTGTGAATGTTAGTTTGTCTAGTGATCGGAATTTGGACTAGGGGATTGCGAAGTGGTGGTGTCATCATCCAAGTCCACGTTGTTAACAATGAGTAAGAGCATATGACCCTTACAATGGTGACTTGAGCCTATTTCTCATCATAGTGGTAGTATACCCTCTCTCTCATAATGAGAAGCTAGTTTTGCCGATTAGAAATGTTTGAAACGAACCTTTGGCAATAGAGTCGAGAGAGTCGACAGTGTGGATGGTGAGGTTGGTGTCAATGCTAGAGAGTGTGAAGTTTGATCTTTCCCAAGTTGAGTTGTACCTCACTACGAATTTTGGTCTAAACCAACAACATGTTAGCTAAGCGCTCCAATTCGGTGAGGTGATTGTTGACAATGCCCTTTTGTGTGATTAGTTTGAATAAAGCACCTTGAGGATAGTCATAGTAGGAAGGGGTGAAGCAATACTCTAGTGCTTGCAACAACCCAAGTCAGGAGATGATGAATCCATTATGAAGCATCCATTGGGACAAATAAAAAATTTGTTGATCTTGAAGATCCAACCCAACGGTCGTGTCCATCAAAACAAAACTTAATGGGAGGGTGAAGGAGGAGAAAGAGTTACCTGACATAGCAATCAATATCATTGCATAAAGGTAAAAATCCAGTAAACATATATAACAATAAACTTAAAGAAGCATCTCTTGAAATGTAAATGTAATAGACCATTGTAATAAAAATAGTCCTACAAGGTGATAGCTCTTGGTAGTTTTTGTGTTGTGCATTCTCGGTTCGATCTCTATCATCTACCATACTTTGGGAGAGCATTTGAAGAGAGATTATGATCTGTCCATAGCTCTTTTAAAGCTTATTTAGTATATTTATGTGAAAACAATTTAACATTATTTTTTCTTCAATCATAAAAAAGAACGTCTATGTAAGTACCTATGTGATAAGCATTTATATGTTTAAAGTTTGGTCTGAAAGGAATATATACTATTCTTTTCTTGTTAATGACCATTCACCTTAGGACAATTTTTTGCACAAGTCTCAAGCAACTGTAGGTTTCTACTTTTTAAGATATTAAAATCTTATTGCCAGCTCAAATACATATTACTATAATTAATGTTTGTCTTCAGTGTTAAATCTAGAAATATTATTCTAAGAATAGCTCTAAACCATACTAACCAATCCTCTCAATACTCTTATAAGTAAAATAATTCCAAACTTCTTATGTTCTTCTGTTATTAAACTCTATGAAGATTATTAGGAGGAAACAGCAAAACTCTTATTGTATGCATTGCAAAAACAAGAATGATGCATTTTTTCAGCATTCATTTAGAAAACTTGATAACTGGACAAATAATGACTAAGAATAGATTAGCTTGCTGTAAAATCCATAAACAGAATAGATTCGGAACGAACAGAACCAATAATTAAAAATTGCCAAACTAGAAATGCAATGCAAAGCTAACCTGTCAGACCATTTTTTAACAAGATATAAGATTCTATATTCCATGGTCAGTCAATATTTTGAACATGTATATATCTGTTCAAAATCATTTAAGCCTCTCTTTCGTAATCTCTAAAAGGAATATTATTAATTTTTTATTTCATGATAAAAAATAGGGCCTGTTTGGATTTAGTTGAAAACTCTTCACTCATGGTATTGCTCTGTGTTTAATTATCTACCAACCAGTACTATCAGGTGCCTTTCTGACAGATTTGAACTTTTATAATTTATGTATGTGAGAGATTCTGAAGCATGCACATTTTCTCTGGACTGTTTGGAGTGACTGCTATTCCTGTTTTCAGTTATTTAAAGGAATATATAAACATTTGGTTGATATCCTATTTTGATCAAGGTACCATGATTTCTACTTGATTACTTAAATTTTGAAATGCTAGAAAGTATTTAGAATATATGTTCCTGGTTTCTAAAACTAATACTTTCCCTGATGTCAGTCCCAAATTTCTTCTGTCTAGTGAGCTATTTGATAAAAGCTGTTTGTCAAATCCTTAATAGATTTTGCAGCAGGTTTTAGATTTAAACTTTAAGAATGCAACACATTGTTTTGAAATATATAGCATAAATATTTAATTATTTATGCAATACAGGTGACATGATTTGTGGCTTTATTTGTCTATCCGTAGAATATGAATATAATTTGTTTGTTATTATATAATTATTGAGGATCTCAACAATCTTAAATTCTAGTTATTCACAATCTAGCTTATCATATTACATTATTTCGATCTTTGTGCAGAACATATTTAATTTTTGCTAGAATTTTATAATGTTTATACAGGGTACCTGGATGGTTCTGGCCTTCTTAGGGTGTTTTATTTCATTTCTGTTCAATTCTTCCCTTTAGGATCGTTGAGGGGTTTCCTCTGCTGTAATAAGAAGTCGATATCCATATTTGCAAAGCAAACCCAAGTTCCTAGTTTTGATGAATCACTGTGTATGCATCTTTCATGAATTATAGTAGCTTCATGCAGTGTTGCACAATAACTTCATCACTATCTGCAGTTATTTGAAGTTCATCTTGACAATCCAGAAGTGCTCCTCCGGTATTCAGCTGCTTTGGTTCAAGGTGCCACTAATGTTTTCTGGTATGAATACAGACTGTTATAAAAGAAAACATTACTTAATTGGTTTTTGAAAAGCTAAGCATAGATTTGGATTGACTGGTTGTACTAAATACAGTTGTATTGACTTTCATTACTATTCCTGGACAGAATATATTCATGCTCTATTCTGCCTTTAATTGGGAACAAGAATATTTCTGAGTGCTCTTCATGATTTTTTTATTTTATTTTTTAATTACCTGATCTTCCCATGTCATTTCCATAGCAATCCATTCAAGCCTATCCCCCCATAATAAATTAAACAGAAAGTAATGGAAAATATTATAAGGTTGTGGTGCAGTGGCATGGTACCATACTCAAATTCAATCTGGTATCGTATGGCAATAATATTTTCAAAACCATGTGCAGGATTGACATTCAAACTAATACAAGGCGATTCCAGTCTTTATTCTGTGTAAGAGTCCTAGAAGGAATTATATGTTTGTTTGCACTGTGATATGGATCATCGGACTAAAGTTTTGATTATTGCTTCCTTTTCCTATTCTTTTGCATATACCTTGTGTTTCCCCCAAGTTCAGTACCTTTTGCAAGATGTTGCATTGGACCACACTCGATTGAATAAAATTCCTTTTCAGGTCAGATTAGCCCTATAAGTTCTAGTTTTTGACAATTAATGAATACTGCCAACAATTGTTTGTTGGAACCTTGAATTACGAAATTAATGTTTAGCAATTGGCATTCTGAAAATTCTGTATTTTTCACCATATTATCAGGCTCAGCGTGATACGTATCTCTTGCTCTCAAGGTTCATTCTATTTTACAATAAAGGTAGATAGACATTTGGGGGAATGGATTATAGCCTACGAATGACGATGTACTAGCATGTTAAAATTTAATAATATTTTTTTTTTTTTTTGCAGCTGACAAAATAGATAGCTTCTTGAAACAATGTCCTGCTTTCCCAACTGCTTTCCTAATTGGTGGTTCAGCAGATATATTTGTTACTGAACTCACTGATCAGGTACATTTGAATTACAATTTATCATTTCATGATTAAGAGCCTTATCCTGTGTTTTGTATTAAGACATGACAATGTTGGTGACGATCTTTCTTTTCTACTGTCACTTATCAGCTTCAAAAGCTAAAGGTGGAACCAGTGCTGCTTCATTACCTTTCAGAAATTAAGATCCTTCAGGGTACTATATCAATACAGATGCAATATTTGGACAGGGATCATTAGTATCTCGTCCCGATTTAGCTATGCCTTTCTTATTTTTATGGTAATGGCACAGGTATGGAATTGAGAATGACTACTAGCACGAGATTAAAAACTTGTTTGTATAGCTTTACTTCTCCTGGTGGTCCAATGTATCCCACAAGAGCCGTTCGTCATGCAGCTTGGGAAGCATTAGACTTGCTTTTTCCGGTTAGTATTTTGTTTTAATTCGTACATAAGCCAAATTAGTAAAAATTGCAAGAGCTTCGTTCATTTTACCCTGAATAATGTGTGGCGATTAATTTTTGTTGTTGTAGAAGGAATGAATTCACGGTAGCCATAAACACGAAACTGACCCTCGCTAACTAAATTATTTGACTTTTAATTATAAGCTCGCAAGTCTGGTTTGATAGGAACATTATATGATAAGTGGTGCAAATTCTTTAAGCTACCAATAGATGGAGAAGGATATACAGTTCTTCTATCAAAGGATTAAGGGAACTGGGCACACAAACGTATTTTTGTTTTTCCTTTTTGGTTTTTCAGCCGATTTTTCCTAACGCTGTTTAATGATACAGGTGGGACGTTACCCGCGGCATCTTATTAGTTTGTTCTTCAGGTTGCTCTATCCTTGGTATTGGCCTTCATCTTGTTGGAACTTCGTCATTTCTTGCGTTAAGGCGATTTTCTACTCCTTGTGGGGGTTTATCTTTTCAGCGTGGAATAAGATTGCCAAGCCAAAATCGCAATAAATTCCATGTCTGTAGAGTTGTGGGTGCCTTGACTTTTCTGTGTTTTTGTCGTTAGTGAAGATTTGTATACAGACAGCATTGCTAATGCTTTGTATATTTGTTGACAAAGGCAAAGTTAAAAAAGATTTCGTAGTAATATTATGTTACGATGAATGTTTATAGGACTGCAATTCGTTTATGGACAGTGACTTATTATATCTAGCTGCAATAATTAAATATGAATTTTAAATTATTCATGAGTATTAACAGAAAGTATATATTTATTCAAATATTTCTTTCCTTTAAAATTTAGTTTGAAATTTACAAAATTTATCGATAACTAGGATTTTAGAAGACTAAGACCGAACAATTTGAACTTAAAGCATATTTTACGACTTGGGACTACAGCAGAAACTAGAGCGCAGAACCATTGGGTTCATTCATTCATTTACTTACCACAGCACATTTGATAAATATGTAGTTTCCAAAAACTTCAACGCACTGCAAAAGATGACACCATAATCCAAACTACAAATGTATTCACTTGCCAATTACAGGTCAACTGAAAACAGCCATTCATTGTCATAGAAGCTAGACCCAGTGACGTAATTTTCTTTGGCTATCGGACTATTTCTCAAAAGGAAAAGAAAAGCGTAATAGAGGATAAACATTACTCTCGGTTAATCTAACACCACCGTTTTCCACAGTTAGGAAGAGTAGTACCAATGCCTGTCAACTTAAAAGGAATTTCTGACTAGCGTTAGTATAGCAAGCACTTGTATCAACTGTCCCTTTCAGTTTCAACTAGTAAAGTATGGCCTGAAAAATGGCTCAGCACGTAATTGTAACAAGCATGCACAGTTCTCACATATTTAAATAAGATAGTTCCATCTCACTATCAAATAAGCCAAAGTCACCAAACAGTCAGGAAAGATGTTTTCAACTATCACAAGTAGAACATCTAAACATGACAACTTATTGCCTATTTCAAACAAGTGTAGGGCAAGGTCACAATATAACAACAAAAGAGATCACATGGCTCTTTTCCCGGGAGAGGGAGGTGTAAAAAAAGAGGCAGCAAATCTACCTTATTTAAAGATTCCTCTGTATTGGTATGGTTTAATCAAAACAACAAACCAGCTGTGGGTCAATTCTGCAGCCAAATATTTCTTTATGCATTGATAGACGAGATCATGCTCCACTTGCATAATACACTTGTTAAAACAAATTAACGCCAATCAGAGGATGCTTGACTGCAATCACTGTGTTGTGCTAACTTTCTGATTCATATTCCATACCCTCCGAAAATGAATAATCCCAAACTCCACGGGTCCAGTCTACACTGCCTCTGCATGATACTTCTCCAAATCAGCATGGAGAACATCTGCAGATAATTTTTCACTACCTCCTCCTCCACCACGACCTCGATCCCTTCAAATTCCTTGCCCTCTTCCTCCTGGCCTTCGTAATGCCTGACCTCTTCCTTTTCCACTGATTCAGATCAATAGAACATATGATTTCTTGATAAAACATTAAATGTCATATCATGACGTAGGTATTAACTCAAATTAAACTCACAAACAAAATATTCAGAAGAGAAAATAGAACAAAATATAGATCTCATCTAGGAAACAAATCAACACACCTTTTTGCATGCATAAAGAATGATAGTGATTAAAATTAACTCTAACATTGAGACTCATTTATTCAGGATTAATTTTAAAAAACAAAAATGACAGGACAGATGATTATCGTAGCAGCAAGTATGTGGTAGGGTATCAAAAAGGTAAGATGCTTCCAATGTACAAGGATCAATAAATAGATGACAATTTAAACTATCCAAAATATATAAAAAATGAAGTGAGAAAGAGTATACCTTGGTGGAAATCCATATAAATTTTCAATAGCTTCGTTTGCAACAGGAACACCAGGCGTAGAAATGTTTATTCCCACAATCTCTATCTTGGTTTGGTTTGCCGTCTAATTGCTACAACATCCGCTCGTCGAGAAAATACTACTTTTGTCGTATCCTAAGAAAATAATTTTTCTAAATTACTACAAAACAGAACAAAAATTGATTAGGAGGACCAGAATACCTTCGATCTTCCGCTCCCATTGTAATGAACCCCATGCCGTTTCAGGTCAGGTCACTGATATAAATAATTGTAATAGAAATAACTGCAGACTTTCATTTACGCGGCGAGATAGGTACGTGAACTATGAAGGCTATAACAAGGGCTAGGGAGCTTCGATGCATGCCCTTCTCTTCTTCCTCTCATTCTCAGCACTTTCAATTTCGCAACGATAAACGTAATAATCTGAAGCCCGAAAACCCTATCATTGTGAATAACAACTTTGAAGAAGCCATTGATGTTTTATGCCAGCAAAAGCGCGTCGATGAAGCTGTTCAGTTGCTCCATCGCATTGATCATCGACCATCTGCACGCGTGTATTCCATCCTCATTGCCGCTTGTGTTCGCCACCGCTCTCTTGAATTGGGTAGGAGGGTCCATGCCCATACCAAAGCGTCTAACTTTGTTCCGGGGATTTTCATTTCTAACCGTTTGCTTGACATGTATACTAAATGTGGAAGCCTCGTCGATGCCCAGATGCTGTTCAATGAAATGGGTCACAGGGATTTGTGTTCTTGGAATACCATGATAGCTGGATATGCCAAACTTGGCCGACTTGAACAGGCTAGGAAGCTGTTTGATGAAATGCCCCGCAGAGATAATTTTTCTTGGAACGCTGCAATATCTGGTTATGTTAGCCACGATCGGCCTTGGGAAGCTCTGGAGTTGTTTAGAGTGATGCAGAGATGTGAGAGATCGAATTCAAATAAGTTTACCTTGTCCAGTGCCTTGGCTGCTTCGGCTGCCATTCCTTGCTTGCTTCTTGGGAAGGAAATTCATGGTTACTTAATAAGAACCGAGTTGAACTTGGATGAGGTAGTTTGGAGTGCTCTGTTGGATTTGTATGGCAAGTGTGGTAGTTTAGATGAAGCTAGGGGTATTTTTGACCAGATGAAGAACAGAGATGTTGTTTCTTGGACTACCATGATTCATAGATGCTTTGAGGACGGAAGAAAAGAAGAGGGGCTTTCATTTTTCAGAGACTTGATGAGATCAGGTGTTAGACCAAATGAGTATACGTTTGCTGGAGTTTTAAATGCCTGTGCCGACCATGCTGCTGAACACCTGGGAAAGGAGGTTCACGGGTACATGATGCGTGTAGGGTACGACCCATGTTCATTTGCTGTAAGTGCCCTTGTTCATATGTATTCAAAGTGTGGGAACACTAGAGTTGCAAGAAGGGTGTTCAATCAGATGCCTCAACCAGATTTGGTATCATGGACTTCTCTAATTGTTGGGTATGCCCAGAATGGTGAACCAGATGAGGCTCTTCGTTTCTTTGAATTACTACTCCAATCAGGTACCAAACCTGATCAAATAACCTTCGTTGGGGTTCTTTCCGCGTGTACTCATGCTGGATTAGTAGATAAAGGGTTAGAATATTTCCATTCACTAAGGGAGAAGCATGGACTGATGCATACTGCAGATCATTATGCATGTGTTATTGATTTATTGGCACGATCTGGCCGATTTAAAGAGGCAGAGAATATCATTGATAACATGTCCATAAAGCCTGATAAATTCCTTTGGGCATCCTTACTTGGAGGATGTAGAATACATGGTAACCTTGAACTGGCTAAAAGAGCAGCAAAAGCATTATATGAGATAGAGCCAGAGAATCCGGCTACCTATATTACTCTGGCTAATATTTATGCTAATGTGGGTCTGTGGACTGAAGTAGCCAAAGTTAGAAAGGATATGGACAATAGGGGGATAGTGAAGAAGCCAGGTAAGAGCTGGATTGAAATTAAAAGACAAGTGCATGTGTTCTTAGTAGGAGATACATCTCACCCAAAAACAAGTGATATACATGAATTCCTAGGAGAACTCTCAAAGAAAATGAAGGAAGAAGGCTACGTTCCTGACACAAACTTTGTGCTACATGATGTGGAGGAGGAGCAGAAAGAGCAAAATCTTGTTTACCACAGTGAGAAACTAGCCGTTGCTTTCGGAATAATTTCAACTCCCCCAGGAACTGTAATCAAGGTTTTTAAAAATTTAAGAACTTGCGTAGACTGTCACACTGGCATCAAATACATATCAAAGATTGTTCAAAGAAAAATAATAGTGAGAGATTCTAATAGATTTCATTGTTTTGAGGATGGAAGCTGCTCATGTAAAGACTATTGGTAGTACTCCATGTCAACAGACATGACAAGCATTGAGTGAATTGCTGCTTTGAATCCATGGTTCTGACAGAGTACGCAGCCTTTGATAGTAGTTGCATGGGTCAAATTCTTTTTCTTTCTCCTTTCCTATCATTTAAAAGGTGTTGCTTCCAATGAATCTGTCGGATGCCCACTGCACCCAGATACGAAATGTTCAATGAGGATCTAGAACCACATCATGCACGAACAATCAACAAGAGGTCTATAAAAATGGGATCTTTGATGTGTATCAGGGCGGTTCAAGCATTTTGAAGCAAATTTAAGAATGAGATTTTATTTAGTAATAAAATAATTTATATTAAAATATATTATAATTTTATTTAAAATGTACGGTAATGATTATGAATTTTATCATATGATTAGATTAAATTCCGCTATCATTTTAATTAGACTTAAATTTTTTTATTAACTTTTTAATATATTTTTTTATTATTTTTACGGAAAGTTAAATTATTTTTATTAAGAGTTTTAACAACGACAATCATCTTTAGTAATATCTTTTTTCAGTGTTCTTTATTTTTATTTATTTGATCTTAAACATATTTGTCTATTGTTTTATTTTTTTATCAATCTTATTTCCAAATCAATATATGCATTCATGTTAGTAATATGTACATTCGTTATTTCATGACTCTTCATCTTGGTACTAAGATTTCTCCAATCTCAATTACCTTCGTTAACTAGTTTATTTGTACAAGAAACAATATTAAATAATTTGCAACAAAAACAAAAGACTCTATCCAAATCTCTAGAATAAATTAGTCATCTTTTTTCGTGTTTCTCTCCATTAGACAATATTTAAATATAATTTGATAAAGAAAAGTGTGTAGAATATTTATCCTTTAGAAAATCTATATCAGTGATTTTAATAAGGCCATTTTCTACTAATAAATGTCTCAAATTTGTATCAATATTCTTCCATTGGCTTGGATCATATATATTTTTATCAATAGTAGAATTATCATCTAGTCTCTCAATCTCCTCTTCACTATCATAGATTTGAGAATCAAAATTATCCTCATTATAAATTTATCCATAACTCATTTTTGTGATGAAATTAAAGTCTTGACTCTTCTCTTCTTTTAGAGTTTTGAATAGCTTGATTTATATTTTCTAATTGACATATCTATATATTTTTATATGAAATAAAAAATTATAATATATAAAACACTACTAAAGATAAGTATATAAAAAAGAATGAGTAGAAACAATAAAACCTGGTTTTGGTTGAGTTGTCAAGAAAATAAACGGTAAACGAAATTGAACGCATAACTGTAAAGGCACAAACGATAAACGATAGAATTGAAAGAGACATTATCGGACTATCTTAATGTATAATAAGTTTTAAATTTTATATTTTTACCCGATATGATGCAATGTCGCATCTGCAAAAAAAATGTCAAATAGTTTCTTGCTTGAGTTGCGTTGCCTCCTTCTACCCCTTAAAATCGATAAAATCGAAGTACACACAAGTAGAACGCCAACAACCAATACAAGTATACAACATATACGAGATGACTCGGATGAGAAATTGAAAATAAAGTCATTAACTAATGTATTATGTGTATGTATCAAATACTCAAATTGAGTAATTTGAAAAATAAAGAGAATGACTAGATGGGAACTAAAATGTCACATAGAGAGAAGAGAAGATAAAAATTAAAATTAATTAGTAAATAATAGAAATAAAAAAAGAAAACTTTTAGACTTTTTTAAATATTAATATTAACTAACCACATTTTTTTTCTTTAAAAAAATTGTTAAAAATAATATTAGTATTAAAAAAAAATTAGAAGACCTTTTTCTGAGGGCCTAAGGCAAGGACTTTAGCAATTTGGGCCTTGAGCCAGCCCTTACGTGTATTTTACATATTTATTATTTATCATGGATAATGTAATAACAACAGTGGTGGGGGCCATATGTTCGAAATTGCCGGTACCGACTACTGGCATGCATCAGTCTTGGTATGGGTTTATTTGTTGGTTTTGTTACAGAGGCAAGTGGTGGTGGTGGTGGTGGATTAGCAATGTTTTAAATGTGTTACACATTTTCAAACAATTGTGTGTTTTTTGTCAATATTTTTCTTTTCTTTTTTTTTTTTTTTGCTAATTGTTGCAGTTGTCACGCCACATCTATCCTCTTAGCTGGGATCAGTGAATAAGAAGTCGATCTCCATATTTCCAAACCAAACCCAAGTTCCTGTAGAGTTTTGATGAATCACTGTGTATGCATCTTTCATGAATTATAGTAGCTTCATGCAGTGTTGCACAATAACTTCATCACTATCTGCAGTTATTTGAAGTTCATCTTGATAATCCAGAAGTGCTTCTTGGTTCAAGGTGCCACTAATGTTTTTTTAAATACAGACTATTATAAAAGAAAACATTACTTAATTGGTTTTTGAAAAGCTAAGCATAGATTTGGATTGACTGGTTGTACTAATTAAAATTGTATTGATTTTCATTATTGAATTACAATTTATCATTTCATGATTAAGAGCCTTATCCTGTGTTTCGTATTAAGACATGAAAATGTTGGTGACGATCTTTCCTTTCTACCGTCACTTATCAGCTTCAAAAGCTAAAGGTGGAACCAGTATAAATTAGTATAAACTGCAAGAGCTTCGTTCATTCTACCCTAAATAATGTGTGGCGATTAATTTTTGTTTTGTAGAAGGAATGAATTCACTCTAGCCATAAACAAGAAACTGACCCTCGCTAACTAAATTATTTGACTTTTAATTATAGGCTCTTAAGTCTGGTTTGATAGGAACATTATATGATAAGTGGTGCATATTCTTTAAGCTACCAATAGATGGAGAAGGATATACAGTTCTTCTATCAAAGGATTAAGGAAACTGGGCACACAAATGTATTTTTGTTTTTCCTTTTCGGTTTTTCAACCCATTTTTCCTAACGGCTGTTTAATGATACAAATGGGACGTTACCCGCGGCATTTTATTAGTTTGTTCTACAGGTTGCTCATGTTGGGTAAACTTAAATTAAAAAGATAATAAGAAGATAATTAATTTAAGAGTTTATTGACATTGATGATATCTTGGTTTATTATTTGATTATGAGAAGATAAAATTATGATTTTATGACTTGTGTATAAATACACCGTTATATTTCTTGTTTGAGACATTACAAAAGATCAATACAAGTCACTTTTTTTTAAAAAATTTTGTTATTAAATTGATATCAAGAGTTAATGTTTTTTAAAAGAATTAGGGTTTTTAAAAAAAGTGAGAGTTAAAATTTGAGTGTCAGGAATATAGTGTGAATGACTACTCTAGCAAATGTTGTTCTAACAAGTATTGTTATAGTTATGCCCAAATTGATGAAAGACATCAACTATAATAAAAGAGTACCTAGATAAAAGTTCTTCTCAAAGTCCATGGTGTTTGGAGGATGGTAGAGAAATGTTTTGAATAACTAGAGATCACAGAAGAATTAACAATCAATGAACTCAAGGAGTTAGAGAAGAAATTTGAGAAATACAGTACATATTTATTTTTGTTGTTTTGAACATGGTTTTGAGAAGATCTTATTAGGAGCTACAGCGACATTCGAAACATGAGACGTGTTAAAGAAGGAGTACAAGTTTAGTAGTTAAGTTAGTAGCAAACTGGTCAATCTAATTGTCGACCTCTTTCATTTTACACTTACATAAATTATTTTCAAAATCTATATAGGGGAAGTCATTCCAAAATATACACTCCTTACACATTTAATATATTGTCTTTTGAATCAAATAATTTTGGTCCCTCTTTCATGACACCAACGTGGATCCATATATTAAATATCTTACAACAAAATAAAAGACTTAAACGAAAAAAAATAATTATGAAATATACTTCAAATAGTAAGTTATTTTTAATTTAGTTTGGTAATTTTTTTTACATTATTTTGAATATGTAAGTCATTTTTATTAATATTAATGTATTTCATTTTTTTTACTGTAATTATAATTTTAATTTTTTTACTTATAATATTACCTATAATATTATTTTATAATAAAATTAAAACATAAAAAGATAAAAAAAAATTGAAGTCATATAAATTACTCCAATATTAATAATTAATTTTTTTTAAATAATTAAAATACAAGGAACTTGAACAATATAACACCAATTTATTAAAAAAAATTGAAAATATGTGATATTACATTACTTTAATATATATATATATATATATATATATATATATATATATATATATATAAATTGTGTCATGCAACATAATTTTTGTACATGAAAAAATAACCAAAATGAATTAGAAACTTGTCTTTAACTCTTGTCCAAATTTTAATTTTTTTTCCAAATTTTAATTATTTTAATAAATTCAAGATAAAATTGTACCAATTACGTAAAACAAAATTCCCTATTTTCTGTCACATTTGTCTGTTGAACCAAAATGTCATTGAGAGTTCACCATTAATTATGTGTTACAACGAAATTGAAAATATGAATGTTGTTCGTAACGATTAATACATCCTAAATCTAAGCAAATCAATTCATCCATATCTATGTTTTTCAATGGATTAGGTAAAATAAAGTAAATTCTTTATTTAGAAGAAAAGAAAATGAGATAAAAAAAAATTAAAACTACAAATTTGTATGATAATTATTTACTTTTATTATTATTTTATTGGAAGTTCTAACTCATACTTTAATTTTAATATATTTTAAGTTAGGTTGTCTAATTTTAATATAAGAAACTCTAACTCATACTTTAATTTAATATATTCTAAGTTAATTAGGTTCTCTAATTTTAACTATTCTTATATAATCAATTTCAATTGATATAATTTAGTCCAATTTTTTCGATATAGTATTTTTTTTTCATTTGGTCACGTATATCCTTTTTATTATCTATCAAATTAAATTAATTTAAATTTATTATATTATTCAAATAATATTTTAATTAATTATTCTATTCATATTTTAATTTTTAATCAACATGA